GATGGAAATTTGCTTTGCAAGGATAATTAACTTTTGTGATATCTGTTTCAAGTATGATTCTAGGCATATGGTACCTCTCAGAGATATGTCCCAATGTATATATGTGTATCTCTTACACAGCAACTAGGGAGAGATGATTAAATTTCAATTATTTCATTGCCCAGATATATATATATATGTTTTTATTTGTGCTGATAAATAAATAAAGGAAGACTAGTATAGATCTATTTCAAGCTATTTAGCTCTCATCAGCTAGCCATATCCTTACTGGGATTCGAACCTGTTATAAAAATAGAAGCTCTAGAAATCTTGGTTTCTATTGCAATATATCATCAGTATATGTCTGCATTCTATACCTGTGCTATCTTTTATATCTATGTACGGTAGTCATTCAAACTAATTTGAATTATCGTGGCCTTTTTGCCTTTTCAGAATAATTTGCCTGGCACACTTTCATATCAATTAAATAAGAGACTAGATCTCTTTGTTGCTGTTACTAAGGAAGTGAATGGTTTCCAAGGAAATCGTTCATTATAGCACAACGTTCAGGTTTGCACAGAAGTATAATGATTGCAAAACCAAATGTATATGCAATAATAGGAAATGCATTTGAATGGGTTTAGTCTAAAAAAATAAACATTGTTTGAAACTGCATCAATAAATACATACATTGAATAAGAGGGCATGCTAACTGTACATGGAAAACAACTTGGGTCTTTAATATTTGGAAGTCAGAACAGAACCTTTTCATAATATCAGAAAGTTAAATTGAGAATTATTTTTTGAGTAGACATATAATATGGTTCATGAGACGTTCCAGTGCTGACAATCATGAGAAAGAGGGGGGGGGGATCCTACGATCTGCTTTGTTACAGTGATCCAAGAATCTGTTGCTTCTAATATCTTGCATCTAAAGCAGTGCTGTTGAATATTGTCCTTTCTACAGCTAAAGTAGTAAGTACCCATTATTAAAGGCAATACATTCAAAACACATTGGAACACATGTCCAAAATGTTTCCAGGAAAAAAATTGTGAAAACTGCTCTGCTAAAAAGAGAGCCAACGACTATGTTGAAATGATAACTTTACAAATTTATTGACTCTTTGTAATTCTTCTCCTGACGAGGGGATTTGAGATCACTTCACAAGTGCTTCAGACAATTGCATCTCATGAGAAGACAGGCAACGTAAGTTTAGAGCTGTGGGGGACAATGCAACAGCTATCTTGTTCCAACCATGGTCTGCGCCTTCAAAAATATACTGGGTTTGCATACTTGCTTTTCCAACCACTCCAGAAATTGCTTGTTAACTGCTTTTCAATTATCAGTAACCTTTGGATCGACAAGTCTGAAAATACCAGGTGATTCTTAGCAAAAAGAAGTTTTAAATACAAATTTAAGAACTTTAAAACTTGGTTTTTGGTGTAGAATAAACATTCAAAGGCTGATTATAACTTTAATTTTGGAAAATTGCAAGTGGACTAAGAATATAGAAGTAGTTGTAGTAAGATTTTTGGAATTATTTATAAGAATCCTTCTCGTGAGAAAATGTTTTTATTTTGTGTTACTTAAAAGAACATGACAGAGTGGAACTTTGAAAGCTGGAAACTAGATGGAACTAGACAGAATTAAAGACTAGAACTAATCAGAATAATATTTAAAGTTAACTTATTAATGCAAAACTGATCAAAAATATTTTAACAGTTGGCATATTGAAATATATTTTGAACAATAGACCTAAAAGTTAATTTTAAGAGTGTCAGCATATATAAAATGCTTAAAACATGTTATGGTACAGGAACAAATTTTACCAGACAAGACTGCAACTGATCTGAAAGTGAATTTGAAAATGACAGGCTAGGTGAATGATATATAAAAAGATCGTACACTAGATATATAAAAGAAATAATCTGATGTCTTAGTAATTAAAGTGAAATACAAATAACAAACCAAGAAACTAATCTGAATAATTTTCCTATACTGGATTTACAAAAAAAGAGACTTGTTAAAGCTTTGAAGAATTTTATGGGAAGGAATAAAGAAAAAATAATAGATAATTCTGTTCTATGATATTGAAGGGACTAAAGATCAAGATTGTTAAAAGCAAAAGGAAAGAATATAATGTTAGTTTATTTGATCAATACTAGCATAGTTATTTCTGCTAATCCTTAATGGACTTTTGCTGATCAGGACAGTATGTATTAGTTTTGTATCATTGCAACTGTATTTTTAAAATAAAATTACTGTTTAAAAAAAGAGCACATGTCTAGAACAGTTTTTCTATTTCAAAAAGACAATCATAAATCATAGTACTAAAGTTAATAAATACAGATCAAGCCCCAAATCACTTAAAGCAATGTTTGCTTGTGTTTGTTTATTTCAACATTATCTGAAGTTCACAATAATTGCAACATTATTATTAAGCAACTTGGATAGCTAAAAAGGAAACTTATCTAGATCACAGTTAAAATATTCTGTCTGAACACAAAAACATGTGTTGAAGATATACATGAAGCTTACTGGGCGAGTTCGCCTAAGCCCATGGGACGAATAACGAATTACAAAACGGTTTATACATTATGGATATATGTAAATTCTAAAGGACAAAATAGCAATCAAAAGTTTTGAAGATATCTTTCATTTCCTAAACCACCTATTTGCTTCTTCCATTTTCAGGATATGCTAAGGACTTTTACGGTACTTATTTCTACAGTGGGCTTGGATACAAGGCACCATATTTTAACTAATTACTTTGGGAGAATACTAATACTCAGAATGAGTTTCTTCAACAGCCTGTGAGAAGGTAGTGAGACAGACATGTTTCATACACAAAAGTATTAGCACATGAGTCAAGTTCATAAGTTCAAAATCATACAATTTCATATCTTGTAGGACAGTAAATTACACTGACTAGCTAATACGATCTCAAGCATCTAAACAGCATACTATTAGGGAAAGCTGTCTTAAATGCTATGGTCGGGTGTGCTAAGGCATGATGTTCTTGGGAGTTTAGTATAGTGAGCACTGTAATTTGTAACTATTCCTTATGGCTCAGCATACTATGTGAATCCAACTGCTGTAGTTTAATCAATATGAAGTGATTGAAAAGATCCATGGCTTTAAAGTTTTTCAACTTAGTAAACAAAGCAAAAAAAAAAAAAAATTTGAACAGAATAACCTTGTATTTGTAGCCAAGTACCATATGGGCAACCCCCAGGGAAAGTCTTCAGAGCCTAAATGAAAAAAAATGCTTGGCTGCTACTTTGTTTAAGATAAGGTCTTAGACCTTAAATAATGTCTTCTAATGTAATTCAAGCGTCCAATTTTTATTCTTATTGGTGAATTCACCGTAGACTTTATTTTTGAGTCATCACACTTTACTACATCCTGTGCTTTCTGATTAAGATCACTACTCTGTAGGTGGGTTTTTTCCTAGCTTCAGCAAAATGATTTCCTGTGTAGACCATAGATAGAGCAAAAGGAAATGTAATCCCACAGTACAGCTACTTTTTTTTCAATTCCCCATTACATTTTTTTTAATTAAACAAATTCTTACCCTTACCATTCTGGTTCTTGAAATACAGGTTCTATTATCTGGACCCAAGTAGCATGCAAGCAGTGCAGAAATGTTTACCCTGAAAACAGCACCACTGATTCAAACAGGATTAATTGCCCAATAATCTTGTACTGCTCATACTCACCTTCAATGTGTGAAGTTGCTTTCAAAATTCATTTCTCACATGCACAATAGGGTTTTATATGTGAAATATGTAAACCTGCAGTTGGTCTTCAAATTCTCTTCATGATTTAGGTTCCCAATGATTTTTGAGAGAAGTGTACTACAGTGTAAAAAAATGGTAAGGAATCTGAAGCTCATCGAATGTTGAATTTTCCTGATGTCGCTACTAACCACCCGGGATAGAGCTGACATCACTCAACATCAAAAAGATCACAGCTTCTCACACCTGGCTTCAATTGCTGCATGGAACCAATTTTTAGTAAGTAAAATTGCAATTCATAACTTACATCAAACCATAAAGATCAGTTACGTGGAAAAACAGCTTAATAGAAGTATCAAGCAAAATCGACAGCTTCAATATAATCATGGAAGATTTATGAGCAATGCCATTTAATTCAATGTAACTTTGAAAATGTGACTGTCATTATTGATACTTTACTGCAATGATAGCAACCGTAGCCTTCTTTGAATACTAAAAATACAAATCATGCTTTCCTTCATCCGGTACACATTCAACAGAACTTTTAGCTGATCTTAAGGGCCACACACAATACCCACACAATACCCACCTTTGGATCCAATAATCCACTATCAATTGTGGAAAATCCTGAAAATGTTAAGATCCGAGTGGAAACATCTGAGGGAAAATGCTAGAATCTTATTGTTCTTAACCTGGGTGGTTCCTTCCAGGGCTCAAATATATTTTTATCTGTGCTAAATTCCTAATAAATGCACCATACAAAGGAACTGTACTAATAAAAGTCAGATTAGATTTGGACTTTGTAACTTCAGATCCACCGGCACTATGGTATTTTTTTTCTAGAGAACAATAGAGCATTAAAAAAAAGGCTTGGTCCTAGTCTCAAACTGCCAAAATTCTTCCATGACAGCATTTAATTCCACGTTAGCACAGGCACTTATGCTTCTTCGTTAGGTAATATGGTCCAAAAGAACAGATAGCATAGCAAAGTAATCCAGGTTTTAAAACATTTTATTTGCATATTAAAAAAATTGTGCATTCCAATAATTAAAATTATTTGAACAAAAAAAATGGCACTCGATTAAAATGCATTTTACAGCTCGCAGGACCCTGGTACAGCTTTGCGTATATTCATGTTATTAGATTACTGTAGTCCCTTCTTAGAATCTTCTTTCAAGAAACATGCAAGCTTTTGTGCCACCGGACCAGAAGCTGGACAGGCAGATGGAAAGGAAGGTGCCTTCGTTCAGCGTCAGTAATTCCCTCTGTTCTTTTTTGGGGGGGAGGGGGGATGTGAAAGGGGCAGTACAGTCATTTTAAATTTATCCAACTCTTTGCATCTTACAAAGTTAAAACAGCTAAAAGAAGTAAAATAAGAAGGCAATGCTTGTGGAATGTACAGTGCATAATTTGGAAGGGCCCATTTCATTACGATTCACCCGCTTGCTTCTCCTGTTCAATTGCTATAAAATGAAAAGAGAGGATGGGTGGGGAAGAAAAAGAGAAAAAAAATTAAATGGCAATTGCATAATTAGCATTCAAAATGTAAATTTTAAAATGCCAGACGTGTTAAAATTTGTAAATACAAGTTGTATTTAACTTCATATATACATAGATATTTATGTACAGAAATATATACTACTTTGTTAATGAAATCCCCAGTAACATTAAGAAGTTGGTAAGAAAAAGCATATGTGTAAAGATGGTCTGACTTCTTTGTCTGTGTGGCCCACGCCCTCTTTTCTAAGATTTCACCTACTTTCTTTTGAAGGCAGTGGGTTTTTCTCTTGCGTTTCTGTTTTCTTCAACTTAGACTTGTCAAATTTCTCAATTTCAGCCATATCTGGTTTGTCAGACATTTTTATTGATTGATCTGTTAACAAAAAAACAAAAAAAGATGTTATACTACACACTTCCTTCCCTCCTTCAGAGACAGTTCCTTTATTCCTTACCAGCTTCGGCATATTGTTTTAATAGTGCATAATAGCCCTTTTAAAAAAATCCTATTTCATACCCTTAGCCATGTATTCAGAATGAGAGATCCATCTACCTAATGTGCCTGGGGGGAGGGGGGATCTAAGGATCGCTGCATGCCCACATGGCAGGACTTCTGACGAGGCAGTTGGGGGAGGGGGAAGTGATGCATTAAATTAAAAAAATAATAAAAATCGTGTTACTAATAAAAAATAATCTGCTTTCTCCCCTTAAATAACTAAACCTCATCGCTGAGGGAGGGCGTGGCCGGATAGCCACCCCTTTCTTATTCCAGCCTGGACATGTGCAGAAAATCGAAGAAAGGCGAATTTCTTGCGAGAACGCCCAAGTGGGAGTCCAGACGGAGCTCCTGGGCGATGCTAAGCACATCCTCCATCTTGGGCGTCTAGCTCGGTAGTTCAGTCGGCGGGCGCCTTGCCTTGTTCACAAAGAGAAGTCCCAACCACCGCCCTTTTTCTCGTTGCCGCACTTCCTCCAGCTCAGCGCCCTCGGCTCCTCAAGGCTGCCTATAGGAATTAGACAAAGACCAGCCCTTCCCACCAAACGGGCGCCCGGCTGCCTGACGGGGCGATAAGGCGCATCTACTGCCACCGTCCAATTAACCGATCACACCCAAAGCCCGAGCATTTTTTGCCTTCCTCCCGGAGGCTGATCGCGCGAGGCGCGTGCATGTCTCCCCCCCACCCATATTTCCCTCCCCGAGCAAATCCCGGAGAAACAGCAAGGAGGTTCGGCTACTGAATGTCTTTCCGAGCGGAAACCTCTTCCCGCCATTGTACTGCGTCGCGCCACGATCTCCCCCATTTTAAGCCCCACGATGCTGTTCCACGATGGAGGCGCCGTGGAAGAACTGCTCCACGTACCCGTTCGACAAAGCGGCGACCGCTCCCCTCTGAAATCAAAGCTAGCCCCGACCCCACCCCAATCATTTTGACCCGGCCAGAAAGGAAAACTGCAAAACGGAAACATGCAAAAGCACCCACGAGAGAACTTAAACTTGTACCCTCACCAGTGAGACCGTCCCAACAGATGCAGCCCGAAACCTTCCCGCAGCCGCTCTGAACCGTAATATAAAAGAGCGTCTCACTGCGTGCCCAGTTATAGCTCCGCTTATATGCAAATTGCAGTGATGTCACCCCGAATCTGCTTAACTCTTTCACCATCGCTGCAAAGCTCGACTTCCCCTTAAAAAAACTCATTAAGACAATGTTCAAGCATGAAACGGGAAACCCCTCCCTCCAATTAACCCGGTCTTGGCCTCGCTATAGAATGAGCCATTGCCCAGGTTTCGGTTCTCCTGAAGCGAGAAATGTTACCGGGGCTCGATTTCAAAAAAAAAGAAGAAAAAAAGCGCTATTTCTAGCTAAAGAGGGGAGGACGAATTTTCCTTAACACGCGGCTTTTATCCCCGAGCTGAAAAATGATTTCGCCATCGGGCTGCAAGATCGATACTGTAATGCGTGTGGGAGGCCTATCTTGGTGCCAGAGCCGTTTTATTTTCTCACGTTATCCTCTATCCCTTCAGCCAGAAATGCTCGGTGGAGGGAGGGTTGTCCCCGTGCAGTTTTGGAATCTAGTCGGATTGCTGGGGATCCCGAAAGCGCCAACAATGGCTGCTGACGGAGGAGCGCGTAGTAGGCAACGCCTAAATTCAGTCCTGCATATAACAACTATCAATTTTTATTTCATAAACTGGTTAGCGAGTTATAAACCCCAGAGTGTTTTTTTTTTAAAAAAAATATGTGCACCAAATATGAGAAAGCAAACGTGCCCTGTATCCTTCCTCCCGCTACCTTTACCTAAGATTTTTCGGAGCTTAACTCAGATCTTCCTTGACAAAGAATTCAGGATTATGAGCTAATTGGGAGTGCAAGTATGGTACGAAGGTAACCAGACGAAAGGATTATTAATTCTCAACAAACGTTTCTTTCACATTTGCAGGACGTTGTGCGTCAGAATTGTGATAGAATGCACTCCTACGAGAAACAGCTTGTATCATAAGTGGCGTTAATCGTGATTTCCCTGTGGCTATTTCCACGAGGGATTCTGTTTAGAAAATGGTTGCATATCTTGATATTTGGAGTGGGGTGTCCATCTCTGCTCTTATTGAGCAATACTTTCTGCTTAATCAGACAATGCAGATTTCTTATTAATAGCGTCGCCTCGTCCCCATTTCATTCAGAGCAAAAGAAGGGATTCTGGCTGGCCGCTTGCTTTTGCAATTTCTTCTGCAGCCCCCGGAAATCTTACGCGGCCTGCTTTCTTCGAGGTTCAACAGACAATGGCTCTAGTGTTAGGAGTGTCTCATTCCCCTCAGCGACCCTCCCTTTGTTATAACCCTTGCATTCTTGCACGCTGTCTGAAGGAGCTCACTTTAAGAGTGTAAGGAAGAATTTTGAAAGAGGCATTGCTTAGGTGAGCGAGGGCTAGAAATATTTGAGGTTTACTCAAGAATTCCAAGGTGACACATCTGAGAGATTAAATGTTTGTTATGAGAGTCATAAAGTCTGGAGATTATTGAGAAAGACTTTAGAAAAATATGGAGGAGAAAGATAGGAAGAAAATACAATAAAACATGCTTACGTTGGTTGGCTTGTTAATCAGAAACAAAAGGAACGACATCTACAAAATATAAAAATACATTTTATATAAATTTTCTTTGAGCATCTTTCACGGCTCCCAAAATATTTGTTTTGATTTATTAGCTTATACTGCTCCTGGGGAGGAAAGCTATGGCAAATCTAGACAGCATACTAAAAAGCAGAGACATTACCCTGCTAACAAAAGTGTGTACCATAGTCAAGACTATGGTTTTCCCAGTTGCAATGTATGGCTGTGAAAGATACAACATAAGGAAGGCTGAGCGCCAAAGAATTGAGGCTTTTGAACTCTGATGCTGGAGAAGACTCCTGCAAGACCCTTGGACTGCAAGGCGATTAAACCAGTCAGTCCTAGAGGAGATCAACCCTGACTGCTCTTTAGAAGGCCAGATCTTGAAGATGAAACTCAAATACTTTGGCCACCTAATGAGAAGGAAGGACTTACTGGAGAAGAGCTGGGAACAATTGAGGGCAAAAGAAGGGGATGACAGAGAANACCATATCATGAACAACACTTTTTAAATTTGCTGCTGCACTCATTATGATGTTTATTTTTTTGTAATGTTCTTCGATATATTGGCAAATGTAGCTTCATTAAAGCCAGGCTAGCATGGATTACCTCAGTACCTGGATATTTGACTGTACAATCTCTTGGGAAATATTGTAGCAGTAATAGGCATTTTTTTATTTGGAGAAGTTGATGCTTCTGAGATTCTCCCTAAGGAATAATTTCTGAACAGCTCAGAGACACTATCTGAAAGTAGCTAATCTATAGAGGCAGAATAGATATACAAAATCTGAATCTGCACCAGTCTCTACTCTCTACTTTCAAAATAGTCTCATGATGGAAAATACATTTCTACTAAACCAGGAATGTCCATTCCTATTGGATGATACCAACAAGGTTACATATAGGCCACTATAAAACTTCATGATTGAATTCAATTACTTAAGTTCAGAAGGGCAGATTTTGTAGAATATCAATACCCAGAGTTTCTTAATCCAAAATTCAATCTGCAGAGTTTCTTAAATGCCACAATGATTGAAGTTCAGCTTGAAAATGCACTATTGGCTCTTTCATTTTCAAGTTTGTTACGCAATGCTAGCATTGCTCAAGGGGCAACTTCCTAACTGCCAAGAAAGCTGATCATTTCACCATTGCTTTCCTTGACTTAGTGCCAAGAGTGCAGAGTGTTGCATTTTAACTACAAAAGTACCAACTAGCCAAAGTCAGAGATTTGTTCATTTTTGAAATTAACAACTGAAAAATATTAACACTAAATTAGCCAAGAAACCCTCACCCTAACTATCTAGACATAACCATGCATTAATATTGAAGTGTTTTGCATTTGTTTTCTTCTAAGATGCTTTTCAAATTTCTAGACTGGCCTAAAGTCATGGGGCTGAATTTGCTGAGCCCTCCCATTCAAGTACTGACAAAATCTGATGGTTTTCAGCCCAAATATATTAACCATATATTTTTGTCATGTGCAGGAACAAGATAACACTACCTCAAGCCAAACAAAACTCCTGGAAATTTCATGGAGATCTCTATGCACTATTCTTGGTAACAGTGTAAAAATGGTTTGTCACTCTTGCTGTTTAGGAAAAAGGAGGGATGAGTCAATGGATGGATGGCCTATTGCTACAGAATTTTGGGAGTTGGGGAATCTTTTAACCTTTTCTAATTTGATGCCTTCCAGATGTGAAACTGAAATTTCTATAGAGTGTTTCTCAGCCCCTGCATCTTTTAAGATGTGTGGAGTTCAACTGGCTGGGGTATTCTGGAAATTGAAACCCACATGTCTTAAAGTTGGTCAGGTTGAGAAACCTTTAGCGTGAAGTCTGAGGGAAACAAAAGATTCTAAAATGTTTGATCAGTGGTTAAAGAAAACAGAAGTGAAGGAGACTTTCAGAGATCATTAGAAAAAAAGAAAGAAAAAGTAAAACATAGGTAGACTTTCAAAGTATCAGTTCATCTCATATGCCTTTGTCAATATTCACTTCTTTTGAGAAAGGAAAATCATAATGCCTTTTTTAAGCACCATCTACAGTATTAAAATATGTAGAAAAAGAAGTAATAATTTTCCATTGGGAGAGATTCATACTGTAGTAAATCACTTTGCTTACTCACATTCCATTTCTCTAGATAGGAGACTAATAATTTGTCCAAAAATAGCTGATAAATTGTCCAGTTTTTGAGAAAGAAGGGAGAAATTATTAAATACATGTGGAATAACTATAGTCAACATATTTAAAATCAATTAATTTAATATAGTTTGTCCTAATCCCATCATTTATGTAAATCTACTAGTCCAGGGGTTGGCAAACTTAAACACTCAAAGAGCCATTTGGACCCGTTTCCCACAGNAGTCCTAGAGGAGATCAACCCTGACTGCTCTTTAGAAGGCCAGATCTTGAAGATGAAACTCAAATACTTTGGCCACCTAATGAGAAGGAAGGACTTACTGGAGAAGAGCTGGGAACAATTGAGGGCAAAAGAAGGGGATGACAGAGAAGGAGGTGGCTGGATGGAGTCACTAAAGCAGTAGGCGTGAGCTTGAATGGACTCCAGAGGATGGTAGAGGACAGGAAGGCCTGGAGGAGCATTGTCCATGGGGTCACGATGGATTGGATACGACTTCGCAACTAACAACAATTCAGTTATGCATTCATGAAAACTTGCTGACTGATTATCAATGCCTTTTTTCTTGGATTGGCAGGGATTTTTTTAAAACTCAGATTGTACCAAATCCTAATTTATGGCAACAAAAACAGACTAACCATAGATGTGTCTTCTGCAGATTTTTGGCATGTCAATAGGGAACTCAAACCTGTTCCTCTCTTAACAAACCGCAGCATTTCCTGTTCTGCTGATAGACAAGTGAAGTATTGGTATATGAGCTCATTCACTGTAATTATGTGAGTGAGTGGGGGTGGGGGGCATCATTTACAAGATGTCTGTAGGTAAATACATAGGAACATACATATGTAGAACTGCTAACTGGGAGAATATAAGATGGACAGTTGTAACCGAAAGGCAGAAACATCTGGATTCACTTCCTCGTGATCATGAAGGCCTAGAAAAGACATTGACAGAACCTACGGTCATCTGTATATGGAGCAATACTGTATGTTATAATACTGTTGTGTTAAGATGGCTTATCCAGACTTCATCTGACCAGGTTTGCACAATACATAGCCAACTTCATATGTTTGGGGACCAATGGCTTTTCATTTCATCTGTCACAGAGCTTTTGCCCCATTTCTAGCTGGTGAGCTGTGAAGTAATAGCAATAACATTTAGACATATACCGCTTTACAGTGCTTTGTAGCCCTCTCTAAGTGGAATTACAGAATCAGCATATTCCCCCAACAATCTGGGTCCTCATTTTGCCCACCTCGGAAGGATGGAAGGCTGAGTCAACCTAGAGCCTGGTGAGATTTGAACTGCCAAATTGCAGTCAGTTGGCAATCAGCAGAAGTAGCCTGCAGTACTGCACACTAATCACTGTGC